AGGCGCCATGGTAGTATAATTGTTCCTTGGGGTGCTAACTTCAAGGTCAGCAGCTCCAAATCACTCTTCTACAGAAGAAATCAAGGCTTTCTACTCTCATGAAAAATTAGTCTTGTGAAGTTTTACCCTGTACTACAGGGTAGAACTATAAATTCAAACAACTTGAAGGCAATGAGTTTATTGGGATTAAATTAGGCAAATTACTGGAAAAGTCATCTTCATGGTGTTAAAAAGACATAATTTCACTTAAAGAACTAAGGTATGCCCGACTCAAACCACGGTATTTTCCATCACCTCATATGCATACAGAAGCTGGACAGTGCATAAGAAGATCCAAAGATACACTGCTTCTTCTGAAATGTAGTGTTGATGAATACTGAAATTGCCATGGACTACTAGAAAAATTAGCACATTTATCTTGGAGGAACTATTTCTGGAGTGCTCCTGAGAAACAGAGACATCAAGACTTTTTCTCAAATACTTTGGATATGTTATAAGCAAAGACCAGTTCCTATAGAACACCATGATGCTCTGTAAAGTACTGAGTCAGCAAAAAAAAGAAAAAACACTCAACAAGATGTACTGACATAGAGTATCTGCAAAAACAGCCTCAAACATAGCTGATTATGAGACTGGTGCAGGACTTGGCAGTGTTTCTTTCTAGTGTACATGGGGTCTTTAAGAGTCGAAACCAATTCAACAGCAACAAGTACCACCAAATGGGTCAAAAATCACAAAGTTAGGAAGCAGGAAAAATCACAATAGTAAGAAAAAAGAGAGACTCAGTCAGAGTGGGATTTATACTTTAAGCTATAACTGGATATAGCTTTAAATAGTCACTGACATTTAGTCTGCATATTTGTTTTAGTTTTTAATAATCTATGCCAGGCATCCTCAAACTACGGGTCACGGGCCACAAGCGGCCTACTGAGGACATTTATCCAGCCTGCTGGGTGTTTTTGCCCCATTTGTTTTTTACTTCAAAATAAGATATGCAGACTGTGCATAAGAATTCGTTCATAGTTTTAAAACTATAGTCTGGCCCTCCAATAGGTCTGAGGAACAGAGAACTGGCCCCCTGTCTAAAAAGTTTGAGGACCCCTGATGTATGCTATTATTTAAAAGAGAAAGTATCCTCATAAACAAATTTATAGCTTCTCTGGAAAATCTGAAGGATTTCACAGCACTAAACCCATCCCTGCACACATCAATTAAATAAAGCAAGTGTTTTACAATAAGTAAACACCTAGTTTTCCATTTCACATAGTTTTTCCTAACACCAAGAGTGTATGTTATCTGCCATACATCATTATACTTGAGGTGCTGCATTCTTACAATAGAAAAATAGTTCAATCAAAAAGGGGAGATGATCAAGATTATTGTGATTAGAGGAAAATTAAAATCTTTATTTCTAATCCACGAAACATGATTGCATTACCTGTCTGACTGCTTCAAACATTAATTAAAATTGTCAACCCCTAACCTTGGCAATGAGAGGTTTCAAAGTAATATAAGCAAAAAATTACTGTCACTGATTGTCACTGAAAGTGACCATCTATTTTGTAGCGACACAGAACAAAAAGGAAACGATCTTAGAAAACATCTTATATATCCCACTTACTGAAAGGTGGGAAGTAAGTAAGGTTACTTTCAAAACGAGAATTCAGTTTACATTTTTTTTTTATGTTGTAATGGTTGGAACACATGCACTTGATAGGCAAGTGTTTAATTCCACCTATAAATGCTGAAATGATAAGAAAAAATATCCCACTAAAAAGTTATTAGAATGTAAGAAATCTTACTTAAATAATGTGTACTGAGATAGAACTAGAATTGAAGGTTAAGGATGTTAGGAACACATATACACAATAAAACGTCAAGAGGAATGAGGACAATAAAAAAGATCTTCAAGGACAGTAATAAACAAAATTACAACAAAGCTGAAATGTCACATGCTGTGATGGTGTCCCCTAAGAGGTTACTGGTTAGCGCTAGTAATGAATTCTGGACTATAAGAGAAGAATGTGGCATGTAGTAGGTATAGTAATACCTGGTCTTTGAATGAGCTCTTATAAGATAGCCAGGTCGAAAAGATTATAAAAATTTAAAAAGTCCTTGCAGAATCTTATTAAAATGGTGAAGAATCATGATCTTGGGGAAAAGTTCTGAGAAGACAAAAAGCAACAAAAACTGAACAGTAAAAATGCATATAAGATCTAACTATGAAAACAAGAAACACTACAAAAACTCAATGAGGAATAAAAAAAGTAAGGAATTGTGATATTCATAATGCGATTAATGTTTATCAAAGGTCTTTAGTAATACAAAAGTTACATACATGTATATAAATAAAAATTTGACTTTATCACTAGGTTCTTAGAAAAAAATTTAGACATTACTCCCTGAACAAAGTAAATACATTTCAAATTAATCACAAAGTATAAATTATCTTTTTAAATATTTTAACTGAAAATTTTCAATTAGTAAGTTTGTGATATATATTTATTAAATATATTTGTGCTTTTTGGTTTTTTTTCCCTTTTACCAGTTAACAAAAACTCACATTTTGCCTTCATGTGGATCTTCTTCCCGGCCCTAAAGGGAAGACATCAAGAGATTTTATATAATTACCTATTAATCAACTCTTACTAAGAGGAATTTGATATCCAAGTATATTTTCACACTGCCTGACACTTCTCCAGAATCTGAATCATCTCGGAATGGCTTTTCATACTATACAAAACACACTACCTTCAAAGAAACCCTACTGTGAAAAAATATTCTAAATATTAAAGTGAAAAAAGTTTACAATTCTAACTGGTTAATTAATTTCATTATTAATTCCAAATTAAGCATATAAATTTCTCATAGCCATTATTACATACAAGGTCGCTATGAGTAAGAATCAATTCAATGGCTGTGAGTTAGGAGGTTTTTTTAGTATCACATTATTCACTCAAATAAGTTGCTGATTTGTGTTTTTTACTTTCCTTGTATTGATAAAAGATGATATCTCTTTACACTAGATTGGATAATGAGATAGTTAAAGTTTGTTTTGCCAACCTGGCCGATAAACACATGAGGGGTTAATTGAAAGGAGAAATATAAACAGCTTGGTGAGCCTTGCCTTTTGAGTTCTTGGTTCTCTTGCTTTCTGATGATCAGACCAGGGTGCAGTTAGCTGCCTTAGCCAGTTCCCTGCTTCAGCTGGCATGGCTCACTTCCCGCAAGACATCCCTGAGAAGCCGCATGGATCTACCCGGATGCAGCCCTGGGTGCTGGAACAGCCAGGTGGAGACCCCTGCCAGCGCTGAGTTGCTTACACGTTCACTAATTCAGCCTTCCTCCTACAGTCGGTGTCATAGTGTGTATTTTGTGAGATGGAGGAGGACTTTGTGGATTGATGTCAGACACATGGGTTAATGTTGGACTTGAGGGCTTGGGCAACACTGGGTTGGGATGTTTTCTTGATGTGCACTTAACCTTTATATAAAACTCTCTCTTATACATGAGTTTCTGTGGATTTGTTTCTCTAAAGTACCCAGACTACCACAACATACATGCACACATACATGTATCATGTATATGTGATATGAGTATATGATGTAGTAGGGCCACTTTTCCTTTGTATGCTTTACTTCTATTAAGATATGGCTGCTAGAACCGACAGACAAGAGAATAAGAAAGAAAAATAGTTTCCATTGTCTTAGAGCAATAATCAGAAAAAAGAATTTACACATGAGGGTGTTTTTTATAGTTAATGGGAAAATTCAAGAACTTTTTAATTTCACTGTTCCATGGACTTTTTGAAGCCTCCTCATATTGCCACTGCTATGGCATAATTAAGAAATTGCAGAACCGAGAGTTGTAAATATAACACAAAATCACCATTACATTCCACTAGCAAAATTCAGTAGGGAAGAATGAATCCCAAAATTACAATGTTCTCTTATTTCGATAATACTATCTTCTCTGAAATGCAAATACTACTTTGAATGTTGGTCAGCTCTCTAAAAATATATAAATATGGTAATTTATACTATGTGATATAACTATTAATCTATTATGTACCAGCAGCAAATTATAAAAACAGAATTAGGAAAATATTACTATACATACTCGTGTAAAAGCAGAGTTTTTTCAGCACATTTTTAATGCAGTTTTTGTGGTAAAATTAGGTGCCTTGGCGGATATTTGGGTTGGCTTATACTCGAGTATAGACAGTAATATACTAGAACAAAGTGTTAATATATACATAATATAACTGAACTTTTCCAAGGTTACCAGAAAATGATATGCATATTAAAAGAACTTGCAAATGCTGAAACCTGTGTAAGGTGGAAAACTTTCAGAGAAGGAAAAGATAACTGCTCTACTTAACATGAGTGATATAGAAAAGTGGTTAAGAATAAACTCTTTCAAAGGCAGAAAACTTGTGAGACCTGGGCAAATAAGGTAGTCCTGTCAAGTTTTGCCACTCATAGGTTTAACTGTATTTAAGATATCTGAAATAAAATATGTGAAATATAATTTGAAATAAAATATGTATAATCAATTTTTAAATGATTGAAATGAAATGACAATTTGACTTAATTGTCTTTCTTCCAGAAAGAAAAAGGGAGTTTAAAAAGGATTCACAGAAGCACAAATGCTAATATATTTTTAATTCACAGTAACGCAAAAAGCCTTCTAAATTCTAATAGCTATACAGTATAGCATCCTAACTTGGTAATTTTCCATAGGGAAAAAAAAAAGTCATTTACTAATAGTAAATATATTTGAATGAAAATATCCTTTGGCCTTATGAATTAAAGTATTCCATGAAATAAATTAAAAACTAGTTAAGAGCAAATTTCCCTGATAACAGACAAGTTTCAAATTTTCACAAAATGTTTAGAACTCTGAAATTAGGAAGACAACTTACCACTTCTTCTACAAGGTCTTCAACAATAAGGCCTTGTTCATCTGTTCTTAGGTTTGTAACCCACATCCATCCATCTTCTAATTCATTATGGACAATAAACATATCACCTTTTAAGAAACTGAAAATAGAAATTATTTTATTAAAATTACTTTTTTTATTAAAATAAAAAGTGTAATACGATTATTTAAGTAATCCTACACTTACTATATGAAGACATATTTAAACCAAACGCACTGTCATCGAGTCAACTGTGACTAAAAGTGACCCTGCAGGACAGAGTAATTGCTCCTGATGGTTTCCAAAACTGTAAACCTTCATGAAAGTAGAAAGCCTCATCTTCTGCAGAGCAACTAGCGGTTGTAGTTAGCAGCCCAACATGCAAATTACTACCCCACGAGGGCTCCACAGAGATATTGGGATAATGGAAAACACCAGAGATTAAAATAAAATACTCTATGTTTTTGCTCTATTTCAGTAATCACCTACATGTAAAACTCTGAAAATCCTTAATCTTTTGACAGTAAAATTGATGTGATAATGGTACCTGGATTATCTATGTACAGGGTAATGTTCAATTCAAATTAGGACTTTTGAAAACTGTAACTAATTTTAAACAAGAACTTTAAACTGAACTTAAAAACAAGAAGCATAAATTTCAATGTTACCATTTTTTCATATAGATAAAATCATACATAAAATATGAAATCATTATTAACTCATTAAATATACACGATACAGAGTTACTATGGAAAAACTATTTTAGATAAGCACAATTAACTATTATTGATGCCTATATAAATTAACATTTTAAAAGTAAAACCACTAGGGATTATTTAATTCACTCACATACCCATAATCCATACAACACAGTATTCTTTTCTGGAAATTAAACTAAGGGAGAAACTAAGAACATATGCATGTCCTTTCTACCATGAACTTCAGAGTAGAGAGCAACATATAAACAAAGTAGTTTCTTTAAGTGGAAATTTCTATCCTCCACTTAACCATGTAAGTTACCAATATAAAATCGCCAAAAACTCCTTGTAGTTTTCCTGTCAGTTTTAAAAGAATACTTCTGAAAAATTAATGTACTTTAAGATTAACTTTATCCATAAAGAATTTAGTCTTTATCCTTGGTTCCTAGAATCATGTTTAAAATCTTGGAATTTCTTCAATAATTACAAGTGGCTTTGATGAAGGACCATATTATGGTAAATAAAGTGACTCTAGATGGAAGTTAAAAAGGCCACAATAACCTACTGCAAGGTATCAGTCTCAAAGTATCCGCCTCCTGATAGCCAATTACCTAAAGAGCACCCCATAATAAACAATCTGGACACTGAAGTTCTAAATGGGTGTTCTAAATAGTAAAGGGACACATGGGTGTTCTAAATCATGACAGGCATTAATGAATGAGGGATGAGTTACATGTGCCTTGAAAACCTTGCCCCATAGGTCTCTTCATTTGTATCCTTTCTACTATAATAAAATTATAATCAAAACTATAGCACTTTCCATGAATTCTGTGAGTCATTATTGAGCTTAAAGAATAGAACAGCCAGGTCAGATTTATGGTATTACAAGAACCAACAAGCTTATTGATGGCATTCTAAAGGGGTAGTGAGAAAACCCAAGAATCTGTAGCCAGCACATCAGTACATTTGGTAAAACAGAGGGGCATCAACAAGATGGCCTGACACAGTTGCTGTAACCATGGGCACAAACGTAAGAACAATTGTAGGGATAGCACAGGTCCAGCCAGTATTTCGTTCTGTTGTACAAATGGGTTGTTACAATTCAGAATCGACTGGACAGCACTTAACAACACTATTACAAGTCAGAAGTGAGGTATGGGTAGATTTGTGGCTAGCATTTTAAGTTTGGGGCACCTTAGTTATAAGGAAACTATGCTTTAACTTGTGAATGCTGATCTAGCTCTGGGTGGTTAATAAATCGGAATATATATCATTCCATAGTTCATTTCAACATTCTTTTCCTTCCTGGACTCCTTGACATTGTCTCCCTTTTACCCTCCCCCCTCCCACCACCACCACTACTGTACCCCCTCCCTGAAATCCTTATTCTACTTGATGTCCTTATAGGTTCATCAATCCTGGGTTCCATATACTGAAAAACATAAAAACATACACACAAATTCAAGAGGGTGACTCCTCATATGACATAACACATGAGATAAACCCTAATATGAACAAACAAAACGAGAATGTTGAAAGGCAGATCAGGTCCAGCGTGTATCGGAGAGGGGGAGAGGGGTGTCAAATGACAAAGCTTTTACCTTTCATGTCAGGTTTATCCCTTTGATTTATATAAATCTCTCCAAGGCTTAGTAACCACTTTCCTCCCACCCTTCTATTATAGAGTGTACATGTCACTCTCAGCAAAGTTGTAGCTCCATGAGTGCCAAGAGTTATTCAAATATCAGTTAACTCAACAACTGATTTTTCCATCATTTTTTAAAGCAAGATTGAAGCTAAAAAAAAATTAAATTATTTAAGAATTGTAAACAAGGAGCCCTGGGATCCTTGCTTTACACAAGGCCAGCAGATCAAAACAACAAGTCGTTCCTCGGGAGAAAGATGAGGCTTTCTCCTCCTAAAAAAGAGTTGGTGTTAGGGTTAGGGTTAGGGTAAAAGAAAGAAAGAAAGAAAAAAAAAAGAGTTGGTCTTAGAAACCCACAAGAGCAGCTCTACTCGGTCTTTCTAGGACTGGAATGAGTCAGAACTGACTGCATGGCAGTAAGTAACCAAGAATGAGTCTTGGATTTACCAGTATAATCCAAAGCAAAGTCCCATCAAAAAAGTGGGTTATGAAGGAATATCCTGGGCCAGTTGAATTCAAGACAAAGAAGTCAGCAAACAAGGTTATGTAACTGTTTTGAGGGATTTCAGAGGGGTGATCTTGATAAAAATTTTTTGCAAACACTGAATGATTATAGGATCTCATGAAGAAATTTTAAGAAAACTGAATCCTTCACTAGTTGAGAGAAAGGTCAGGAAAATTGCACCATGAAAATGTTTTCTGTCACAACTGTCCTACAAGAATTTCAATGACACTCTTTACTCCATCCACTCCATCCATTCTACACCCCTAATCTTGCCCCTTCACGCTTCATTTTGCTTCCCAAATTCAAAGAATATTTTGAAGGATGCCACAAGTGTTTACACGTGGTATAAATGAGCAGTGCAGCATTCTTCAGGGAAAGGTTAGAGACGGAAACACTGTCTTCAGAAGTGTATATGCACAGATGGAGTAGACACTGAGAAACAATAGCTTCACATGGTGATAGTTAATAGGTTTCTGTGATTTTGTAACATTACTTTTTTATTTACCTTTGTATATTGCAAGAGAACTATTTTCACTTTGTCAAAGGAAGTCTAGTAAGATCTTTCTCCTGTGGCTACTCTGATTCAAAGTCAGTCTCGATAAGCCAATATGAGAATATAAGAACAAAAGAACCAACATTGAAGGTATTTTTATTTTGCTGTATGTTATTTCCTCAAATTCCAAAACCATCTGAATCCAAGCACAGAAATTTTCAAATCCTAGCTCTTTCAAAACCTATTTCAAGTGCTCATAAATAAGAATACATTATAAAATACCTTATTTCATCCGTGTCTGGTACTTTTGTGTAAGGTAGAATGGCTCGCACACGCCTTCTATCTTCTACTGGCTAAAATGCATAAAGATAAAACATTTTAAAATGACAAATAACTTAATTGTCTCAATAACAAAAGATGTGTCCTCGCATATAGATGAAGCCAGTATGAATCCATATTATACTCAATAGCATTATCCAATTATTTTGTATTAAGACTCCTAACAATTTATACATCCAGAGCCTCAAAATGCTTTTTGCTTATACCAAAATTCTTTTAACAGTATAATCAATATATTTATACTAATCAATATGAGTTATCATTCATTTATATATTAGTTAGACGAGAATATATAAATGAGTCTATCTTTGATGGCATAGAAGACATTTCATTACCTTGCAACAACTTCAGAATAACAACTGACATCAATAATTTTATTCAAATATATAAATTAGACTAAATGTAGACTGTCATCATGGATATTATTTAAAAATAAGATACCTAAGTCAGCTAAGGTGCCACATAGCACCAACGAAGCACACAACATTCCTCTAATTCTTTAAAGTTTCCTCCCCCTGCTCCCCCAACTATCATGACCCCCAGTTCTACCTGACAAATCCAGCTAGACAGGAGCATGTACACTGGTACAGATAAGAACTCTTAACAACAGAATCCAGGATAGATAAACCCCTCAGGAACAGTAATGGGAGTAGCAACACCATGAGGTAAAGGGGAAGG